CCTGTTTGGAATGGGATAGTGGCACTAAAACCTAGGTGAAGGACTAAATTCTGACTGTGAGGATATCTAGAAGATTATGTTGGGAAGAGTCATTTAATAGAAAATGGGCAGAAAAAAGGCATGTCCCAATCAAATTCTGCCTGCGAAACTCCTACCTGAAAATGTATATTCACCTTTTTAAGGTATCTTTTCATAACTGCTCTTACAATAATTGTTTAAAAAAGGAAAACCCAAACCAATACTCCTATATCAAGCACATTATTGAGAGTACAAATTGTCTGAAACCTCCTGATGACCACATCCTTTTATGTGCCCATTTTATTCGCAACACAGAACAGGTAATGACGTACAACTTCCAGCAGAGGTGTTCCACTTACTCCACCAGCAGCCTATCTTAAATATGATACTTAGTGTATCTATAGGTCCCATATGAAGTGTGCATTGTAGCAGAACAAGTGCAAAGTGTTCAACAAAATTGGCTGAGCCAGGAGTGCTAATCAACATACAAGGAAGACAACAACCTACGGTGTGTTTGCTGGTGCCCAGCATGGAACGGGCTGATGGAGAGATGTCAGTAATAAGCAGAAGGAAAAGAAAGAGTCATTCTTTAGACTAGATTCACCCACTGTTGCTCATATGTTTACTCCATGATGTGCCTGGGTGAAATCAGTGAGACTAACATCACTGATGACAATTCAATCAAAACTAAACCAAAAACTTTCCTTAAAATCAAATAAAAAACCAAGACTATCAATAGAAATAAATGAGCCAATATATTTAGCACATGACCAGATGCTAAAGAGGCTGCTTAACACAGTCTTGTAAATCTGTAAAAACACATTAACTATAGTTTGCCAGTCTGGGAAACAAATTACTTTCTGTTCAACATCCAAATGATAGCAAGCATTACCTTTGGAATTATGTATTCATTTTAACATACTTATATACAGTGATCTTATTCTGATGTAGTAGTTTATTTCAACATAATCTAAGCAGACTTCAATGACTTACTGAAGGCTTTTTAATACATTTGAGACTTAGACACTTTCCTAACAAGCCTTCATAAATATGATGGCAACAATATGTCTTTTGTTGTCATGTTTTCCAGGTTTTATATCTTTACCAAGAGCCAATACCATTTAATGATGTTTAAGTTGCATCTGAAATGGGCAATTCTTGAGCAAAATATGCCACGCACAGTTTGAAATTAATCTAAGGAGCTAAAGAAATTTAAAACATACATGTTTATAGGTATATATATTATATATTGGTGTATAATAATGTATACACACACATGTATTTTAATGTTTAACTTTAATAGCAAAAAGTACAGTAGAATTCCACTGATGGCAAGATCTGATTGTAGAGTATCCATAGAAAATTGGTGCACTTTTTCTGAAAATCAATATAAGCTCAAAATAAAATGTGATACCAGATAATTCTCTGCCATAGCCTAACACTGATAATCAATTTAAATACCTAAATAATTGAATGAAACACTCTAGTAATCAAATAGGCATTTGATAATGAAATATCTCCATTGAAATATGTTACTGAGTAAAATTTTGTATCAGTCCCAACTAGGTGAGTGTACAATATTTAGGATAAGGCCTCTCAGTCCTGACTGGAGCTCATAGGTACTAGTGGAGTACAAATAATAAATAATAATACATGTACTGTAAAGTCTCTAAACTCAGTGAAATACCAAGCATTTTCCATCTCTGAAACACTATACAAACATAAAACTGTTCCTCACAACACCCCTGTGAGGTAGGTACAAAAGTGTTACCCCTTCTTACTGATGGGGCAACTCATCCCAATACTACAAGGTGCTAGCTGATGCTGCAAGGGGATTCCCAGAGGCCTGAGTTCCTGATTCCCAGAGGCCCCAGAAGTATGTTGTTGTTCTTAAGCAAAATATTAGTCTAATTAAGAACTTGCCCACGTCCTTAAAAATGTCAGTGGCACAGCCCAAAGCTGTTGGCATATTTGTCACTTTGTCAATTGATAGAGACATTCTCCCTTTGAAAAAGTAAGGTACTATGCATTGGTCCTGTGACATGCACAAACATGTATTTCTCTTTTCATAAGTCTGCTGATACCTTTCATATCTGCAAAGGGAAGGCATTTCCCTGTGAGTGCATACCTTATGTAGCAGAGCTGTAGCAAGAGTCTCCCATTCTTTTACTTACATGCATAAAAATTTACTCATGTATGTGAATACTCTCAATAGTTGTATGATGGCATTATATATTAAGGGGCACAGCCATATATTTTTTTTAGATTCAGCTTTCAGGACCTCCTTTAAAACTGGGATAATCCTGTGGAATGTACTAAAATATATGCATTCTCTTTTCCCTTTTTTTAAAAATAAAGTCTGGAATGCCTTTGCTTAGACACACATTAAAATACTGTATAGCTAGCCATTGTTTTGAAGATGCATAAAGAAAAGCAAGACCTCTGAAGCTGGAAGCAGTCCCTCTTGCACCAGAATAAACCTGGAGTATCTCCACTAAAGGCCGTAGAGCTTCAGTGGTGTAAAAGCAGGCAGAGTGAAGTCAGGATCAGCACTTCCATGCTCCTGCCCATCTGTGGCTGCCCTCTTCCAGCAGCACTAACCAGCTTCATGCCTTCATCTGAAGGACAGAGTGTGAATGGCATGTTTGCCAGCAAATCCTGTGAGCTATGCACATACCTGATCACATCACTGAAGACTTCATCACTCATTATGCTAGTGTTACACATAGACGTAAAAAAACAGGCAGCTCTTTTGACCTCTGCAGAATTAGAGAAAAAGGAAAAAAATAAACTACAGTATCTTCCAAACGACAGAGTACATGCAGAGAAGCAAATTAAAGGCAACACAAATACAGCAGAAATGCAGCTTTAGAAAAAACAAGGCTTTTGCCAACAGAGAAAGAAAAAAACAAGTAAAGGAACAGGTAATATATTGAGGGCTAATATATACAAAATGAAAAAAGAATTGGGTAAAAATAAAGTTATTTCAATCATCTAATTAAGTTATTTCAATCATTTAATAAATGCTCTCTAATAACTTGTGGGAAAAACGGAAGTGAAAACTTTGAAAGCCTTTCTGGAACACTCCCCTTTAAAAATCATAACAAGCAATTTTTTTCTGATGATATATAGAGTTCCTACATGGCTATCCTTTTAAACATCTGTAATTCAACAGACTTTGACCATTTTAATGTGTAGCATATTTTATTATTTAATGTCTTCATGTGATAAAAAAAATAACCCATACATATTTAAAAATAGATACCATTCTGCTCTCATCCTTTTTTGGGGGGAGGAGGAGGGAAAAGCAGGTAATTTTCCTCTTGTGTTTTGAACAGAACCATAGCTATCAGCTCTCCTTTGCTTTTCTGTTTGCGTATCATGTTTTCTCTCAGCAAGACTCAGGGATGTGCATGGAGGAAGAAAAGCACAAATCTATCATTGTTGTTGAGTCGCCTGAGGAAACTCATACCTTCTTTGGGTTCATCTTATAAAACACAGTATCTGCATAACAAGGCCACTGAAAAATGATTAATACAGATTTTTCTCTTTTATTTATCTTTTGTCTTTTTTAAATGCAGCAGGCATTCACCATCGGAATATAACAGCTTGGAGTTTACTCAAACATACAGCTTTTTTGCAGGAGATACGTAACCACATGCCTAACCTTAAGAATGTAAATACTTTTATTTAAATTAATGTGAAAAAATAATTTGGTTAAAGTTAGACATGCTTTAATAATTGAGGATATTGGAAAAAAAGACAAAACAAAACCATGGGTTTAAACGTATAGGTTATGTCATTTGGAATGAATGGATGCGAGCTGTCAAATTTTTCCTTTTTGTATTTTAGAATTTGAACTGCTCCTGATAAATATGTTCACAAATTTTTTCATGCAGTGTATTGTGAATATTAGGCAGATGTTTAAACAACCTGAAAAGTAGGCTTTTTCATTAGGCAGTACAGGTTAAATGTTCAGAAAGCAGTCAATTTGAAACAGTAGTCATTCCAAAGTCTGTTTTCCCCCCTCCAAAATTTTCTTTTTGGTGTCTTTTTTAGTTCTACTACCTTGGGATAAATGCTCTTAAAATTTATTTTTATTGGAAAAGGTATTTTAATAATTCTATCCCTTTGCACTGTTAATATAAATTAGAAAAACGTTTGAATATACGGTGTCAACCTTACTCTGATTTTCAGATGCAGTGATTAGAAGTCATTGACACCAATCTACCACAAATGACCTTAGTCTCATATCTTGTTCTGTTATTAGAGTAATCAAGGAACGCAATTCAGAAATAATATTACATCCTGCATTTTATTCAATTCCATATGACAAAAATAGTAACCTAGACTAAGACATCCATTTCAATCAGTAGATGTGTCAAGCCAACAAGATTTAATAATAAAAAATATTGGATCTAGGTAACAATTCCCAGATGTTTCAGGGAGGCTCCTAGCCCTACATGGTATCACAGTATAAAAATAGTGTCTCTCTTCACCATGCAGAGAGGAATGGCCTAACCCTGAATACAAAATGGGGTCAATCTTACTGTACCATCGTCAACCATCTTATTTACAACACTTTACATATTTTTTCTCTTTTTCCTTTTTCATTTTTTCTTCTCTATTTTTCTTTCTTTTTATTTTTTTCCTTTTTTTTTTAAAGTTATATACATCCTTTAGGGAATAGAGATAACACTACATGGTACCAAATACTAACAAAAAATAAAGTCACACCAAAAATTACACAGATAAATAAAAACATTCAATTGCTGAAATACAGCAACATTAAGCCACCTTAGTTTTCTTTTTCTTTAATGCTTGGAAACACCCCTAACCACCCACACACTGTGGCAAAAAATTATGCTATATTGTAGAGGTGTTACAGATATATAATTTTGCTCAGATATAGATATACATTTATATCTATATATCTCTATCTCATCATTGTAGAAAATGGAGCTGTAGAGTTCATTGTTCATTTCCAATAGAAATAAACAGCTAATAAGTCTTTGAACCTCTTTTCACTCCATTACATGATGGCAGAAGTAAGAAATCCTCTTACAGTAATAGTTTCTGTTTTATAAGAAAGATTGTCCTATTTTTCAGTCTCAGCTGAGAAGACCTCACTGTCTGATTCGTTCTTCAGGGGCATAAAACTCCTTGTGCTGTTACCCAGCTACCCATAATGTCCCTCAAGCAATTCTGCTGGACGGAAGTTCAGAGTGTCAACTCCACCATGCTTGTAATGCACAAAAATGAGGTAGTACACAAAACATTTACTGTTCAAGTTTTGATTAAGCCCCAGTCTCCTCAGCATTCCCCGCTTAACTTATGAGTGGAACCATTCCCTTAGTTTACTCAGAGTAATTCCAACAATGCAATCAACATAAAATTATATTTGATTAATCAGAATACATTGTGCTTTGGAGCAATCTGAAAAGATAATCAGACAGTTGGAAATAAACACAGAGCATTTGTGTGTTACTACTGCTCACGCTGCCCAGAAGTTCTTCTTTTGTTCCCACTATTATTAGGCAGTCAGCATCTTTCTTATGGTTGTGTGTGAAAGAGACGGAACAGATTACAGGAAAATTAAACCTACATAATGTTCTCCTTCCTCTATCCTAGACTTGTATTAATATCACACTACTAAGATAAATGTATCAGAATTCTGCCAGGGGTGGTCACGCTTTTAAGTGGGTGTTGTAAAAAAGTTAAATGAATCATTTCCATTTAAGAAATGGCAGTCCCCATATTTCCTAAAGATCTGGCAGTTCTCTGCAATTTTCTGCTTAGTTGATAGAGATCTCTCATTGTTTGAGCTTAAAACAAAACAAGAAACTGCAACAGGGCCCTCTTCCTTACTCCTTAAGTCAAAGTACTATTTATAAAATAGTTGACATCTTTGTTCAGTTTCAAATTATAGACAAACCTCCCTAATACAAAATACTAAAAGTGCAATAGTATAAATTAAGAGTTTGCAACCACATTATACAAACATTACCTTTTTATTGTACAGCTTTGATAACACGGAGTATTTACTCACAACTGTTTATAATGTTGTGAATAATTTATGGTGCTAAGGTTTGTCTGTAACTTGTTTTCCAATCACTGAGCTAAAATCCACACTACATTTTTTTTCATTTAATAGAACAACTGTCCACATAGCAGCTACAAATATTTAAATAAAAAAAGGTTTGTTACTGACAGGTACTTGCACATGAAAAGCATGCTATCTTTCCCAATAAAACTTCACAATTTTGCCTGCATTGAAATAAACCACTTATTCATAGTAAAACAAAACTTGCTTAAAAAAAAAAAAAAAGGAAAAAGAAATAAGAAAAATCACATAGCCAGATGTATTTTGCAGTACAAAAGCTTCATTTAAGTTTGGGGCTAGTATATTGTCTGCTACCCGCATAATCTTAACATTATAAATACTACAGACAAGGATACTGTAATAATACACAGCATTGGGGTACTAAATCACTTATTTAAGATTAAGATTCCTAAAAACATAGTCCAAGTTGCTAACTAATTTGAACAAAACCAGTAAATAAGTGTGACAGAATGCCATAATGAAGCCCCCCCTTTCTCAGGTGACAATAAGTTTTGTAAGAAGCAAAGTGAATGTAGACTAGCCTCTTTCTGTTTCTAATGAAGTTATCCCATGACTGGTTGGTTTGTTTGTTTGTTTCTGTTAAATTAAAAGGTTTCAAAGTTCTCCGTAACAGTCAAACTCACTGTTGAAAGAAGTACCATGCAGATCTTGCAAGACAACTTTTCAGCAGCCACAAAGTTATGTATTTCTGCTATGGGTAAAATTTTAAAGGGAACCTACGCATTTAGGTCAGGAAACTAATGCTTAGCTTCAAAAGCTGTACATGGAACAGGACAAGTGTTGTGTTGAGTAGAGGTCCAACAGTTATTCAGAAATGAATGCTTTTAATTTATGCCAATCTCTTTATTATCCTCAATAAATCTGGTGAATGGACGACTGGCTCCCGTCTCAGAACTTGCTTTGTCCAGACTGACAATGGGAGGGCTGCTGCCTGTGCGAGCTTTGTCCATGCCACCGGTAAGGTTACTTAGAGGCGGGATGGCGCCTCCGCCTAGACTTACTGGGAGCTGAGGAATGCCTCCGTTCTGTATGACAGAAATCTCATTGTTCTTCATAGCAAGTCCGTTAGTGATAGCTGCAGCATATTGGTTCCAAAAATTTGGGTCAACATTCATGGCCCGAGCTGCCAAATCCTTCTGGAACATCTCGGAAAACTTGAGAGCATCGCCACCGAGCAAAGCCATGGGGTTTTCCACGGAGAGGCGTCGGCCACGGCGTGCAGGGGCGTTATTCCACATGTGAGTGCCCATGTGAACCTGCAGAGTGAACAGGGACGAGAAACACCCCCAAGTTAGCACATTCTGATGAGGTGTCTAGCCTGAAATGCTGTTACTTAGAGTAGTGCTTGCTTTTTAAAAAAAATGCCTTTTAATTCACATTGAAAAAAAACCCAATTCCAGTAAGGACACAGTTCTAAGTTCCAAAGTTCCAGTCAGCCCACACAAAGAAAACCCAGATCCATGGTAGTTTTTCAATGTGCATTTGCTTCTTCTCAGTGAAAACAAACAGCGCTGCAAGACTAAAGGGTACATACTCTCTTGGGTTAGACAATTTCACATGCAAACTGGTAGTCCTCACATGCTGAAGATTACCAAGGGCATTACTCATATTAGGAGATGGGTGGTTTTCCCCTTTTCCTTTTTTTATCCTGTCTGTTTTCATGTGTTTATCTCATCTCATCTCATCTCAGAAGCACGGATTAATTTGCTAAATTTAGTATTTTTAAAAAGGACATTTAAAATGTCTTCCCCAGGCTGAGTCTTGATGGTTAACCAAACGGCAGGAATAGGAGCGATCAGTCCTGTAGTAACCCATTGTAAATCTTTGAGAAACAGATTTCTGCTCTGCAATGGCTGCAAAGTGGAAAAGAAAATAGAAACTGGGGAGGCACCCAAGGAGCTGAGCAAGCCATATGTTTCTGGTTCATAGCAAGGTTATTTTGCATTGATGGTCCACAAGAACTCTTAGAACATGCCCACCAGCTGACTGGGTGTGCCATCACATCAGTCAGAAATACAACATGCCTGCATGTACACCTGGAACCAGTTTTAAAGTTTGCATCATTGCACAGCCACTTTCCAGTTCTTCTCTTCTACACAGTGGAAGCATAACGACCACCACCATACAGCAAGCATTTCCTTGAAGCTCCCTTCTCACCTGTCTTTGGGACAAACACTTAGCACTAAAACTTGCTGAATTCAAGAGCAGTGCTCTTTAACCTCCCCCTCCCCAAGCCTTTACAGTTTTATGTGACCTCTTACCTTAAGATTCCCCTTTGTGGTAAAAGCTCTACCACAGATTGTGCAACCAAACGGTTTTTCACCGGTATGGGTGCGCTCGTGTATCTGCAGTGCACTTGCTGAGGAGAAGGTCTTCCCGCACGACTGACAGTTGTGCTGCTTGGGAGTCCGGCGAGGGGGGGGTGCCAGCATAGGGGTGATCCCCGGACTCATCACTGTCTGTGGTGCAGCAGGAACCTGGATTCCAGCTGGAAGCGAGGGAACCTCACCCAAAGAGATCGGCTTGCTGTGACCATTCACTTCCATTTTGATCATGGTAGGTGCTGTACTGGTGACCAGGCTAGGAGTACTTTGGCTGGGACCTAGAGTAAAGTTGGGTTCAAATAACTGAGAAGGCAGCTCTTTTAATTTGTGCGTCAGTAAGTGCTGTTTTAAATTACCCATAGTGGAACACCCACGACTGCAGACTGTACAAACAAATGGACGTTCTTTAGTATGGCTGCGGTAGTGAATTTCCAATGCACTCTTACAAGCAAAAGGCTTGCCACAGATATTACAAACAGTACTTTTAAACTTACCACGTTCTCTGTTCAGGAACAGCAGACTAAAAGGGGCCTCCTCTTTGATGACCGGTCTTCCCGGGTTGGTGGATGTCAGGTCTAATGCGCCTCCATTTTCAGTTGTGGGTGGCGGACTGTCTGGTTTTTCTGTCTTTAATTGTATTTCTTGTGGCTCTTCCTGGTTACTGAGACCAGGGGACTTTGATCTGAAACTTTCGCTATTGCTATTCACAGGAGACAAAGCTTGCATGGAGGAAGAAGACTCTGACATTGCAGGGCTGCCTGCACTCTGGCTTTCAAGATCACCAACGGCTGATGAGGAGTCATTGCTCAAATGGTCACTTTCCCCTGATCCATTTTCTATGGATTTTAAACTGGTCAGCTGCTGACAGTTCATGACAGAATCAATCATTTTCATTTGATTCTCCAAAGCAGCAATACTGGAGATCACAGAA